CTAGCGCGTAAAAAATGTCACGCCGGGTTAAGATCGTGCAAGGCGGGCGGGCGGTGCGGAGTAATTTACGGCTCACCACCTTCCCGCTGGAAAAATCTCAACAATTGCATTCCAGCACCAGGCACTTGCGTTCGCTTGTTGCTATTAATTCCGAAGCTCGCTAACAGGCGTCAATGATAAGCTCATCATATAGTAGGTTTTTACCCTTTAAACTGGTACAAAACTGACACCTTTATGCAAGGCATCATGTTTGCAATAACCACAACACAAGCAGTCAAAATGCAAACAAAAAGAAACTCTGATAATGACATTGATATGCACTGTCCTTGAAGTTGATTGGTCCACACCCGAGACGGCTTTCTTTAGAGCCTAGTCCCCATTGGGGACCAGATGACGCCAAAAGGCGTACAACTCAAAAACAGCACACTATCAGAGTATTGAGAGCTCGGGGTAAAGCATTTACACTATGAGACCTCCTTTACCAGTGGCAAAATATAGTAATAGGTTTTTACCCTTTAAACTGGTACAAAACTTGACACCTTTATACAAGGCATCATGTTTGCAATAACCACAACACAAGTAGTCAAAATGCAAACAAAAAGGAACAACTCTGATAATGATGATGATATGCATTGTCCTTATCATCATCAGAGTTGTTTCTTTTTGTTTGCATTTTGACTACTTGTGTTGTGGTTATTGCAAACATGATGCCTTGTATAAAGGTGTCAGTTTTGTACCAGTTTAAAGGGTAAAAACCTACTACTATATTTTGCCGCTGGTAAAGGAGGTCTCATAAGAAAAGCTCATCCTCGGTTAGCGTTTAAACGCGGACGGCAAGCGCTGCTGTCGGGCAAGCAAGCTGTTTACGCTGCTGCTACTACTGCAGCTACGCTGGTTTACACAGGAAAGGCTTTACTCACAGAGTCTCAAGAGCATTTTTTCAGGAGGGCTCCTGCCAAGTTTTCCCAGCAAGGCGGGGAGGGGGGTGTGATGTTGCTAACGTGTGTGATCCCAATTGAGTAGTTTGCACGTTTGGCCGATGCCAGTTAAGTTCTATGTTTGCAATGGGAGAAAAGCGGAGAAGCCGGAGGAATTCCATGCAACACAAGGAATATACAAACTCCCCTCACTCACGCACACTCTACAGAACAGGGGAGATCATACAAACTCCACTCACTCACGCACACTCTACAGAACAGGGGGAGATCATACACTCACTCACTCATGCACACTCTACAGAACAGGGGGAGATCATACAAACTCCACTCACTCACTCATGCACACTCTACAGGACAGGGGGAGATCATACAAACTCCACTCACTCACGCACACTCTACAGAACAGGGGAGATCATACAAACTCCACTCACTCACGCACACTCTACAGAACAGGGGGAGATCATACACTCACTCACTCATGCACACTCTACAGAACAGGGGGAGATCATACAAACTCCACTCACTCACTCATGCACACTCTACAGGACAGGGGGAGATCATACAAACTCCACTCACTCACTCATGCACACTCTACAAGACAGGGGGAGATCATACAAACTCCACTCACTCACTCTACAGAACAGGGGGAGATCATACAAACTCCACTCACTCACTCATGCACACTCTACAGGACAGGGGGAGATCATACAAACTCCACTCACTCACGCACACTCTACAGGACAGGGGGAGTTCATACAAACTCCACTCACTCACTCATGCACACTCTACAGAACAGGAGGGAGATCATACAAACTCCACTCACTCACTCTACAGAACTGGGGGAGATCATACAAACTCCACTCACTCACACACTTTACAGAACAGGGCAAGAACATGCAAACTCCACTCACTCACTCATACTCTACAGGAGGGAGAATATACAAACTCCACTCACTCACACACTCCACACAACAGGGCGAGAGAGAACACACAAACTCCACACGCAGAAAAAGGCGCCGGGAATCGAACCAGAGGCCCCTTCTCGCTGCGAGGCTACTGCCGTACCACCGCTGCCGCCCACAACAACGAACTTCACCAAGGTCACATGCTAAATATTCTATTCCATTTGAAACACCTGGTCAACACCTTTACAGGGAGGGAGGGGGTGGGTCAGGGAGATCTTACATGACGAGGATTGTGTTTGTTTTATTACCCCCCCACCTGGGTAGCACTGCTCCCCCCTTCACGGAGGCGAGACTCACTTTACAGGCGCAGGTGACAGACAGAGTGGCGGACAGGGGATCACTCACTTTACAGCAGAGGTCGCAACCGGGTACCCGATACCCGTACCCTACCCGATACCCGGCTACCCGTACCCGGCCGGGCACGGGTACCCGTTTGCGACCCTGGTGCGGCCGGGTACGGGTACGGGTAGGCCGTGAGTCACTGGTGAGTCACCGTTTGTCACTCATTTCCCAACGTCTTGTCTCTTCTCACAATTCAAGTTCCTAGAATCAACCCACCCGCGCCTGCAACATGGCTTCATCCCAGAGGTCGCAATCAGGTAGCCGTACCCTACCCGATACCCGGCCGGGTACGGGTAGGGTACGGGTACGGCCAGGTACGGGTACGGATACCCATTTGCGACCCTGGTGCGGCCGGGTACGGGTACGGGTAAGGAATCAAAACCCGTTTGCGACCTCTGCTTTACAGGTGCAAGTGACAGACAGAGTGGCGGGCAGGGGACCCCTCTTTGCTAACAGAGTCGCGAGACCTCGGTGAGGCCTCCCCGGGTAAACGAGTGGAGTGATAACGATAGGACACGCAAAAGACAAAGCCTCCCCTTCACTCCCATATAGCCTGCAAGGACTGCTGGGGCAAGTGCTGTTAGCACGAGGGGGTGGAGTGGCCAACGCCATGCCCAGCCGCCTTTGTCTCCCCAATGCCGATGTTTACACACCGCCCCGAGCGCTCATTTGAGGCCGATTTAACCCAGGGGAGGCTCCATCACTGGTGTTGGCCACGAGTTGGGAATCGAACTGGGGATTCTGGGTTCCTAGGACGGCACGATAACCACCACGGCAGCGCTCCCCATGCGCACCTGGTGGCACAAGCGCGGCGTGTTACTTACGGCCGGCGTTGTATTCGCCCGCATTAATATTTATACTTCCCTGCGTCTGTTTATTTAACTGCGTGTGTCTCGAGCGCTTTGGGATGTAGTTTCCATGGAACATATTTAGACAAACTAGACAAGTAGACAATATGTCTTCCTCGTATATAAATCTGTCTCTCGCCAACCCAAACCCCCCCCCCAATTTTCAGCAGCATCCATTCACCAAGTAAACAATTGCGTATTACGTCATGCCACCCGTAATTGTTTACGCGAGCGTACAACACCTTATCCCTGGGTAAACCAGAGTAACGATAGCAATCATCATGATATTCATAATGATGATCTACACGTTGTAAAAGTGTACGCACCAACCTTCAACGACAACACCGCTCGCCGCTCGAAGCCAGTCCAGCCCCGCGAATGACAGCCGGCCGCTTGGAAGGGCCAATGAGCCACGGAGACACTGCATTGGAACTTACTGCACAATGGCCTTAGCCAACAACTTGGTAAACCGGATTAGAGGCCTCTAACCAAACACGCTCTCCTGCCTCCCCCCCCGCTGCCCCCCCCCATTCCCTCAGGGGCCCATGCCTCTCCGCCACACCCAGCCACATCGCGTTCGCACATCAATCACACCACTTCCACGGCACATGTGCTGCAGTCACGCGCGCGTGAATGTGTCAAGACTCACAAAATAGAATAACGTGCCCATGCAAGAGACATTTGCTGGTAAAGTAGGGAGGGGGGCATACACGTCCACAGTGCCCCGCGACGTTACGCAACCGTCCAGTTTTGCGCTCCGTATTTTTGCGGCGTAAGATTGAAAGTAAATTTTTTTTTCGATTTTTTTTTTTTTCGGATCGCCTATTGGCAACGCTGCCGCGAACGAAACAAACGCAACTCGTGAAAAAGCCCGAACGCGTTATTTAGCATCTTGTCTGTCGTATTAACCGTACACGACCATTACACACGGCCTGCTTCACTCGCAGCGGCCGCGAAAAACCCCCGTGACGTCGTTCTGGGGAGAGGCGAGGGACGTCGCGTTCCTGCATCGCTGTTCAAATTTGCCAAAATTACAACAAAAATTACACCGCAAGTCACTCCATCGGGATTAGACGCACAACCACCATCATCGCCGCAACTCCGGGAAAACTACCGGCCAGAGATGAATGCCAACTGCAGGTGTCCTAGGCTAGACCACACAACCACCATCATCGCCACCCTCCTGGCAGACAAACGCCTCGGGACTAATGCCAACTAGAGATGTCCTCGGCTAGACCACACAACCACCATCATCGCCACAACTCCCCCAGACTAACGCCCAGGGACTAATGCCAACTGCAGGTGTCCTAGGCTAGACCACACAGCAATCATCATCGCCACCCTCCTGGCAAACAAACGCCTCGGGACTAATGCCAACTGGAGATGTCCTAGGCTAGACCACACAGCAATCGTCATCGTCCCAACTGCTGGAAGACTAACGCCCAGCGACCAATGCCAAAGTGTCCTTGGCTACACCAGAGAGCAATCATCATCATTATCGTCGTCACCCTTCTGGCAGACTAACGCCCAGGGATAGCTGCCAGCGAAGGTAGCACGAGGCTAGGCAAAGGTAGAGATCATCATCGCCGCCTCCTGGCAGACATGTGCTCCAGGTTGCTCTTGCGAAGAAGACGCTAATCCTGGCCTCTTTGAGTCATTAACCGGTTCAACTGAGGACGGCTGCTTGCGTTGTGGCCGAAACGTCGTGAGAATAATTTTATTTTATTTTTTATTATTATTTTATTACTTCCCTTCTACGTGATGACTTTACCGAAAGAACCAAGAAGATGAATCCCTGCAGTCACGAAAGCTTTAAATCGAAATAAAAGCGTTGGGAGAAGCGAGTGAGCGCGACGCCACCCACCCCCCCCCCCCCCCCCCCCCCCCGCTGTCCGTCGATCGCTTACGCAGGCCGAGATCTGCAGGCTTTCCAGGAGGTGCTTGGCCGGAATGAGGAAGCTGACCAGGTACTGCAGCGCGTCGCCGTGGAAGCCCTGCTCCCACACGGGGAACACCTGACCCAGCAGCGTCGGGGCGGTCAACTCGAACGGAGGGTACAGGCTCGACAGCACCCCTTCGACGCACGCATCCAGGGACTTGGAATCCTGAGAG